AATTGAAATTTGGCAAGATATCTAGGAAAGACCTAATGTGTACGAAAATGTAAAGAAATGGATATCGAGATTTCATCATAGTGGCACTTTAAATCTCATGATTAACCTTTGACCAAAAGCAAGATCTGTGTATTTTCTGTCACAAAACAATTGTAATCTTCTAATGACTATGTGCCAAAACTAAAACTGACGACGACATCTTACTATGGGACATCTTGGTATTTGCAAAGCTGCCTGCGCGACGAATGGGTAATAACTGCAACAGAGAGACTGGAACCAATACCTTTGAGTGACTTGCTATGAACAACAATAGAAGTTTCGATTCCTGCTTTATAATCCATCCCGACCTTTGCCCCTGAAGATTCGTCGCGTCTGCTGGAAAGCACGATTCTTTTCTGTCCGAAAGCACGATTCGTTTCAGTCTTTACCAAAAGAGACTCCGTTTTCTCCTCGGGCAGTGTTAAGCGAATACTCAAAGAGAAATAGTACCAAAGCACTGATTAGCATGCCAACGACAAAACTCAAGTGGTACAGTCCTTTTGTGCTTCTTGCTGGAGCCATTTTGAGTGTTGCTGACCAGTTTACAGACATACTCACACTGGTGGAATTTCGCCGCGGGGATCAAAAGACGTGGTTTGTCGTGGGGTCCATTATTGTTTCATTCCAAATTTCCGTGGTCCCGTTGACTACGTGCATTTTTTGTGGTTTTGCATCACCTTGGAGCGTCAAAAAAAATGCTTGAAAAATTTAAAAACTTCCTATTGTTAGATAGAAGAAAAGCAAAGCTCTTATGCTAAGTTTACACCGTGTTCTAGTTTTGTAAATTGTTTCAACGTGAATACCAAGAACTTTGTCAATTTTCCAGATATTTGTTGCATATTTAATGAGGCAAAAAGCTATATTTTCGTTGTTTTGCGAATTTCTCGAAGACTCTAAATTCTAAGAAAATCGGAATAATATTTTCGAAAGTAGCTCCCTAAAAGCGTTCTTTAGGCAAAGTCTCAGTATTTTCGATTTTTCTAACTTGGCCAGCCATTCTCGATATTTCTAGTCAGTGACTCTTAAGTCTTGCTCGG